CTCCGCGCCGCTGCCGCGCGTGCTGGGCACTCAGGCCGCCCCTCCGCCCGTGCTCCTTCTGCAGGACTCGCTCAGCGACAGCCTCCGCCTGTGCTACAAGTACCTGAACCAGACCAGCCGGAGCTTCGCCGCCGTCATCCAGGCGCTGGACGGCGAGCTGCGGTGAGTCGGCGCGGCGGGGCTTGGAGGGGGGAAGCCGGCCGGCCCGCTCTCCCGAGCGTGGCCCCGAAAAGTTTGGGGAGGGAAGAGTCGAAGGTGGTGGAGGGGGCGTGCCCCGCTTGAGGAGGGAAAGAGGCCCTGCTTTCCTCCGGTCCCTGGAGGCTACTTCGCGGCTTAGTGCTGCCCACATCCGCCCCTGCGGCTGCCAAGCGCAGGACCGCTCTTGCTTTAATTGGAGGGGACGGGGATCGAGCTGGCCGCCGGCATCGAGCAGAGAGGGCGCCATGGGCTGCTTGTGCCTGGCCAAGGCTGCTGGCAGCCAGCAGCTGCTCTCAGGCTCTTGAGGGGAGCAGGGTCCTTGCCGCCCCTTTTCTAATGGGTTACGGCCGGGTTTGGACCCGAGAGCGACAGCCGAGAGAGAGCCCTTTGCCAATGGGCAGGCCTTGCCACGGCTCCTCCCCAAAACAACTAGGCTGGCGCAGAACAAGAGCCAGCCGCCCCGCACCACGTGGGCCGTGCCTTGAGCTGCCTCTGCAAGCCTCGAGGAGTGGCTTTCCCTGACCTGGGGCCCCTGGAGGGGCTTGGCTTCAGCTGCGGAATGGCTGCCAGCCAAGATGGATGAAGGCATCCCGGCCTGGCGCGAGGGATCTGTGTGCTGCTCTCTCTATTGTACTGGCACCCACATGATTGGAGTTGCGGTTCCTGCGTTCCCAGGTTGGGGGAGCCCCCGTGGAATGGCCCAAAACTACCCCTTTATGGCCCCTTCCTTGATTCTTTTGACTAGAACCAGCTTTCTCCCAGCAGATCAAGGTCTTGCTTAGTCCTTCTGCCGGAGATTCCTTGAAGTGGGGTGCCTCGGAGGATTAAACTTTGCACCTGCATTTGTTTGGCATTTTTAGCTCTACCCCTGCCTGCGCCCACACACTCCCCCCCTCCATTTATTTTTGCACTAGGGGTCAATCTTGTCTTGTAGCCTCCCCATTCTGGGTCATGCAAACTGCCTCTCCTTCCTATTTTATTATAAAGACACCAGTGGAAGAGATCCATCTGTCTTGCTTCATGTCCCTTTGAGGTACAATGAATCATGATGGGATTTTCATTAGTCTATTATATATACTAGGCTACAGTTCACATTCTGTAATTATGAGCTTGTAGCTATGAGCAACGTCTTTCTCTTTTCAGATTTCCTTAATGAATGGAAATAAATTGTCTCATGCCCAGATGGGTGCCTTGGCATGGCTGGAGATTTACAAATCCTGTCCCAAGACATGTTCCAGGGCCTTTAATTTTGTTTTGTGCACCCAAAGGATATTCCATGCTGCTTTTCTGGACCATGGCCTCATCCATGGCAGTGAACAGCAATCAAAACATAAAAGTAGCAAGCCTAAATGACCATGTTTCTGGTAGCATAATAATCTTAGGATAGCACTGCAAGGCAGTGTTTAAATGGTATTCAGGAACGCAGATAAGCAGCCCATCAAAACTGCAATAAAGTTCAGCTAAGATAAAAACATTTGCAAAGTCAGTTTTCTAGCTGCCACACTGGTCTCCCAGATTCTCTTCTGTTGGAGGTTGCAGTAGCGTTTGGGCACCCACACTGCCAGGTTGTACAGCCATGCTTTGATGTTGAAACCTGGGTTGCTGTGTTGTCCGAACCTGGCACAGGTATTCTCTTCATTGGTTGTGGCTTAATTGTGGCTGGATTGTGCCGCTGGTGAGGCTGTTCCAGAGTCCATGCTGCACAGGAGAATTCAGTAGGGATAAGTGCACCCTGCAGACATGTCTGTGCTGAAGTTTCTGGCAGAGGTGCAAGAGCAGCTTGGTCAGTTGGCAACCCAGCCTTGTCTGTATTGCATTTGTCTAATTTTAAAACACAAACCTTGCTTATATGGCTTTCCAGAAGGCTTTCAGTAGAATAAAGAGAGCAGCCTTTCCCACCCTGGCTGAGGATATGGGAGTTGTGCTCCATCAGTTTGAGAAGGCTGAAGTGAAGCTTAAAACATGAATGTTAATCAGATTAAAAATTAAAGTGGGTGGGATGCAGTTCTGTGGTAAGGGTTTCATACCCCCCCCCCCCGTTGGAAAATCAACTCCCTGAGCTGATGGGAGTTGACTTCCAAAGCATCTGGAATGTCACAGGCTGAGGAGAGCTACAGTATATCACAGAAGTGAGTACACCCCTCACATTTTGTAAATATTTTATTGTATCTTTTCATGTGACAACCCTGAAGAAATGACACTTTGCTACAATGTAAAGAAGTGAGTATACAGCTTGCATAACAGTGTAAATTTGCTGTCCCCTCAAAATAACAGCACACAGCCATTAATGTCTAAACCGCTGGCAAGAAAAGTGAGTACACCCCTAAGTGAAACTGTCCAAATTGGGCATTATTAGCCATTTTCCCTCCCCGGTGTCATGTGACTCATTAGCGTTACAAGGTCTCAGGTGTGAATGGGGAGCAGGTGTGTTAAATTTGGTGTTATCGCTCTCACTCTCTCATACTGGTCACTGGAAGTTCAACATGGCACCTCATGGCAAAGAACTCTCTGAGGATCTGAAAAAAGAATTGTTGCTCTACATAAAGATGGCCTAGGCTATAAGAAGATTGCCAAGACCCTGAAACTGAGCCAAGACCATACAGCGGTTTAACAGGGCAGGTTCCACTCAGAACAGGCCTTGCCATGGTCGGCCAAAGAAGTTGAGTGCGCGTGCTCAGCGTCATCTCCAGAGGCTGGCTTTGGGAAATAGACGCATGAGCGCTGCCAGCATTGCTGCAGAGGTTGCAGGGGTGGAGGGTCAGCCTGTCGGTGCTCAGACCATGCGCCGCACACTGCATCAAACTGGTCTGCAGGGCTGTCGTCCCAGAAGGAAGCCTCTTCTAAAGATGATGCACACGAAAGCCCGCAAACAGTTTGCTGAAGACAAGCAGACTAAGGACATGGATTAGTGGAACCATGTCCTGTGGTCTGATGAGACCAAGATAAACTTATTTGGTTCAGATGGTGCCAAGCAGAGTTATTTTGAGGGGACAGCAAATTTACACTGTTATACAAGCTGTATACTTATTATTATTATTATTATTATTATTATTATTATTATTATTACATTTCTATGCCGCCCCTTGCCGAAGCCTCGGGGCGGCTTACAACACAATACATTGCAGCAAAGTGTCATTTCTTCAGGGCTGTCACATGAAAAGATGTAATAAAATATTTACAAAATGTGGGGGGTGTGCTCACTTCTGTGATATACTGTAGTTGAGCTCCAGAAGTCAGACTTCAGCCAGAGGCTGACTCGGGAACTCGTCCCGTTCCTCCGACGTGGGCTTATTCTGCTGCTGCAGAGTGGTGGATCCGCAGCCACCTCCGTGGCCAGCCGCCAGCTCTGCTCTGCTCTTCCCGCTGGCCTCCGAGTCGCAAACGCTGCTCTCGCCTTCCCCTCCAGGCACGCAGTGTGCATCTTCTACCTGGTCCTCCGGGCACTGGACACGGTTGAGGACGACATGACGATCGGCCTGGAAACCAAGGTTCCCCTGCTGCACAACTTCCACGCCTACCTGTATCAGCCAGACTGGAAATTCATGAACAGCAAAGAGAAGCACAAGCAAGTGCTGGAGGATTTCCCGACGGTGAGCAGGGGCTCGTACGGCTCGCGTGTCTGTTCGCTTCCGCCGTCAGCCCAGCCGTGCGTCTTTTGAGTTGTGGCCTCGGGCGGAAGCACACTGGGGCATGTGATGCTGATGCTTACACTGGCCGCACAGCCAGTAGGCACGATCCGGCTTACCCACCTCCGTGGGGCTGGGAAACACACGTTGTGCAACGCCCCCTCTTTTTTTGAGAATATATTTTTGCTTCAGGGATAGTCAAGCCGCTGCACTGTGGAAACCTCCTAATCTTTTACACTGCCTCGTTCCAGAAGTTACCGCTCCAGATCCGAATCCGCACAGCACATGTGCCTAGGCTTGCTGACTTGGTCTCTTTGCATCACTCTATAAAAGCTGCTGTTATTAATTTCGTTTCTGTGCTGCCCAATGGAACACGGGTGGCACAGTGGGTTAAGCCATTTTGCTGCTGGGTTTTTGATCGGAAGGTCGGCAGTTTGAGTCCGTGTGATGGCGTGAGTGCCCGCTGCTCAGTCCAGCTCCTTCCTACCTAGCAATTCGAAAGCACGCAAATACTAAATCAGTACCACTTTGGTACTTATAAGTACCACGGTGTTCCGTGCGCCTTGGCGTTTGGTCATTCTGGCCACATGACCGTGGAAGCGTCTTTGGACGACACTGGCTCTTTGGCTTACAAAGGGAGTTGAGCGCTGCCCCCAGAGTCGGACGCAACTGGCATGTATGTGTGAGGGAACCTTTCCCTTTTACTGCCCAAAAGCCGAAGCTCTCTGGAAGGTGGCAAAGTTCAAAGCATTCCATCCTGACTTAATGATTTACTCAAACCAAGTCTTGAGAATGTGAGGAGGAGCTCTGCTGGGTGGGATCACAGTCTGCCTAGTCCGGCCTTTTGCTCACCCGGCGGCCAGCCAGGGGACTGGTGCTTTTCAGTGCCGTTCCTACTTAACCATCTCGCCCTGCCCTCGTGCAGGTCTGGAGTGGACCTTACCTGGCTCCTGGGTTCAGCTCTGGCTGGTTTTAGAGTTGGAAAGGGGCAACCCAGATCTTCAAGGGGTTGGAACAACTCCCCTTGCGGAGAGGCTACAGGAACTGGGACTGTTGAGCTTGGAAAACAGGCGAGCGAGGGGAGGTAGTGTAGAAGTGCACCAAGGAATGCCTGGTGTGGAAAAACTGGTGGTCGGAGGGCCATTTTTCTCCTCCTCTGATAATACCAGCACCCAGCGGAGTCATCCCAGGAATGTGAATGGTGGGAGATTTGAGACAGATTGAAGGAGCGATTTCTCCACACAGTTCCTGCCTCAGCTGTGGAATTCATTTGCTCGGAGATTTTGGAGAAGTGTTTTGGAGGCTGCATTCCAGGGGCGTGTGGGGTGAATGTGCCCAGGTCTAACGCTGCTGTCCTAAACAGTAACTTTTGCCTTTGAACCTGGTTTTAGCCAGCTTATTTCTCTGCCTACCTCAGATCTCCTTGGAATTCCGGAAGTTGGCAAAGGTCTATCGGGATGTGATTTCTGACATTTGCCACAAAATGGGACTGGGGATGGCTGAATTCCTGGAGAAGAAGGTGGATTCCGAGAAGGAATGGGACAAGGTGAGCAAGCTGGGATCCTCCAGCGAACCCTCGTGCCGGCCGCAAGGCCATCGGTGCAGTGATTGTGCCAAAACCTTGATCATGAGGCCTGGGAACTTGTACATGTTTGACTTCCAGTGGGCTGGACCTCCTCCTTCTTTTAGTGCCCGTCAGTAGGGCTGAGTTGCGCTTAGGGGAGAAATAATTTGTGGCGGGACAATTTTGTGCTTCTGGGTGAGTTCTGGTGTCATTAGCAGCATCAGATAGAATCCTAAGAGTCACAACAGGGCATTTCATCCCTCCAGTCCACCACCTGGTCAGTGCAGGAATCCAGTCCGAATCACATCTGATGGATGGCTTTGGAGGCCCTGCTTGAAAACTGCCAGTGATGGGAGAGCCCACCACCCCGGGCAGTTCCCTTCATAGTCTGAAACTTCCTTTTGGGAAGTATTTATTTATTTAATGTTTTTCTATACCGCCATTCATTAAAAATCTCATGATGGTTTACAAAATTTAAAAAATTCAAAGAAGCCATTAAAAACTCCGTGCCAGTGCTTGAAGCAAAATAATTAAAATACCACTTAACAATTAAAAACTGGGTAAAGGTTTTGGCCTGGTACGAGAACGAGTGAAGCGTTGGTGCCAGGCGCATCTCTCCGGGGAACGAGTTCCATGATTGGGGCGCTTCAGCAGGGAAGGCCCTCCTCACCTCTTTCAAGGAGGGCTGTCAGGGAAGGACCTCCACAGATGATCCTGAGGTCTGGGCAGGCTCATATGGAAGAAAACGTTGCCTTCGATAGCCAGGCCCTAAACCATTCAGGATTAATTTCTGTGTCATCATTAGCCCCTTAAATCAGGCCTAGACTTAAATTGGTAGCCAGTGTAGCCGATGCAGGACCGGCATAATATGTTCTTGTTTACCAGGAACAAATTTTCTGGTGTTCGGTCTAAATCCACCTTCCTGTATTTTGGGGCTAGAAGAGTGCGGTCATATGCCCCACTTCCAGTTGAACCGGACATAGCTGGCACTTTCCCTCTGCCTTCATTGGACCCTAGTCCCTGATCCTCTTCGCTCCCATTCATTCGAAGGGCGGTGTCCTGGATTGGTGGTGAACTCCGGGCAATGCAGGGTGGGCTGGAACGGCGAACTCGGCTTGTGAGAGCTTTTGCACAGCTGCTCCAGCTTCCAGCCATTCTGTTTTCCCTGAATACGCACGCATTCTGCTTGTGCACTACCTTGGCGTGCTCTTTTCCCCTGCAGCGCGTCCAGCGAGGAGAGAAAAAATAACCTGCGCCTTGTTTCTCGTACCTCCAGTATTGCCACTACGTCGCCGGCCTTGTGGGGATCGGCCTCTCCCAGATCTTCTCCGCGTCGAAGCTGGAAGACCCCATCGTGGGCCAAGACAGGGAGCTCGCCAACTCCATGGGGCTTTTCCTGCAGAAAACCAACATCATCCGGGACTATCTCGAGGATCAGCTGGAGGGCCGGGAGTTTTGGCCCACGGAGGTAAAGAAGGGGCGATGGGGGAGGGCATGGCCCTTGGGCCAGACTGGGACTTTTGCTCAGGGGCAGCCCAGTTTTCAGAATCTGGCCCTGTTTAGCTTTCAGGGGCTCCCTGGTTCAGTCTGGGCACCTTCACTTAAAAAAAAAAGAAGAGAATTTAAGCTCTTTCAGCACAAGGGCTAAATTCTGCTTCAGGGAAGCTCTGTCTGATGCCGGAGGCAAGAGGAGGTTGGATATCTTAGTTGAATCTGCTTATTGCCCACAGCCAAGCTTTAGGAGGCATTTCATTCTTTTGGAAGGGGGGAAACCCTGCTCAAGAGCTGGTTTGGTGCTTGGGGTTTAGGGGATGGGCCAGTGGGAAAGCTGTGGCCATCCGAGGAAGCTTGATAGGAAGGATTGGGATCCTGGCCTGAGATTCTGCACCTGTGATAGGGTGGCTTCCTGCAAGGGCCCAGCCCCCAAGTAATGTGGTCCCCCAAAATACAAACATGGAATAGAAACCGTTTTACATCTGTTTTCACAAGCAGGTCTCCCCAAAATTAGCTTTGACCAAGTCTTGAAACTTGTAGGATTTGGCCCGACTGCAGACTCGCCCTCTGAGAACAACTGCAGGATTTCTGGGATGTTGGCTTCCATTCAGTGTGACATTTTATTTTCATGTTAAGTTTCTAGTCCTCAGTATTCCAGTGGAAGAACTTGAAACGGTACAGGCAGGACCTTGGGTGCTTGAACACCAGTGGGGCTTTTTTTTAGAGCTTTACTAGCCTCATGCTTCTGTGCACCTGTTAGATCCTGGTATCACAGCATGACGGTTGTCAAACTCATTTTTCCTGGTTCATGAAAATATATCAGGTCAGTCCTGTATGCCTTGACTCTCTTGCCAAAGCCTCTTTCAGAACATGAAGATAAATTAGACAAGATGTCGGGGTGGGCTGGGCCACCTTGGGCCGTCTGGGAGCTGCATCTCTCTTAGAACATCTCCTGGGAAGCTCACTCTTGCTGCAGCAACTCCTGAAAAAGCAACTTGAAAGCAGACTGAATCGATCCTGAGCGAGCCTGTGTTGTTATTAAGGCTACGTTGCACTTATATCCCACTTTTTCTTTTGTTCTTGCAAGCTGCTACATACGCTGGCTGAGGACAAATTCAGCTTGCTTTCAAATGCATTTCCTCACAATACTGCATAGCTGTTCTGTGCTAAATTTTGGTGGCAAACCACCCATCTGTTCTCCCCTGATCCTGATTTTCTGGCGGGGCTACGGGCCAAGTTTTGCTGATCTCTGTGCTAGAGCAACATTTTCAAGAATAAGGTATTATGAGGCCAGCATGGCTGAACAACTTCGTCACAGTGCCTTCATGCCGGGCATGGAGGCGAACATAGACTGGCCAAAGACTGCAGTGCAGAGGGAAGATCATGGGGAGGAGTTGCAAGACCGCCTCTGACCTTGCCTCCCCCCCCCCCCCCGCCCCGCCCCGGTTTGCTGTTTCCAGGTTTGGAGCAAGTACGTGAAGAAGCTGTCCGACCTGGCCAACCCGGAGAACCTCGACAAGGCCGTGCAGTGCATGAACGAGCTCATCACCAATGCCTTGCATCACGTCCCCGATGTCTTGACGTATTTATCCCGCTTGAAGAACCAGAGCGTGTTCAACTTCTGTGCTATCCCCCAGGTGGGTGCCCCGCTACCTTGAGGGTCCTTCTATTCCCCTGGAGCAGTGGTGGTGAACCTGTGGCACGTGAGCCAAGTCACCCCAGCAGCCGGGTAACGGCGCACAGAGGGGCCATGCGCATGCTTGGAAAGGAGTAGCTGCGCCAGGCAATGACATCACGAGCCGCGACGCATTAGCCGTGACCAGTCCGTGCTTTCACATGGCCGGTCACTGTGGCGCCAAGGGGGGGGGGGGGGGGGGGGGGGGGGGGGGGGGGAGAGAGAGGGAGAGGGAGAGAGAGAGAGAGAGAGAGAGAGAGAGAGATAAAACACAAACGAGCTGGTGTTGAAACCTCACGACAGCAGAAAGAAGCTTTGAAAGGCACAATCCGGGGAGAAAGAAAATAAATGTGCAACTCTCCACATGCACCACGTTCTGTCTAAACAGGTATAAGATTGTGCCTTTTTGCAATTCAGAATGCTGTTTTGTTCCAACTCTGTTGCACGACACGCCTCTTGTTTTGAGAGAGATCTAAATTCCAGACAGTCTCTTTGCACTCAGTTCTGGGCTCTGAGTGTATCCATCCCCACCTGTGTCTGGTTGATAGGTCTGCTCGCTCCTTTCTGCCCCAGAGCTGATCGGCATTGTTTTGTGACTCCTCAGGTGATGGCCATCGCTACCTTGGCTGCCTGCTACAACAACCACCAGGTGTTCAGGGGCTTGGTGAAGATCCGGAAGGGCCAGACCGTCACGCTGATGATGGACGCCCAAAACATACAGGCCGTCAAAGCCATCATGTACCAGTATGTGGAAGAGGTGAGCTGGGCAGAGGGCCGGAGAAAGCAGGCGTGGGCCTGATCCCTGGTTTTCCTGCTGTACTTGGGGGCCGGTGTTTTTAACACAGCTCAGATCTTGCCTCCTGCCATCCGCTCACTGGCAAGAAGCTTTGATGATGTCTAAATGGGCCGTTTAGGTCAGCTCTTTGCATCAGGCCCAGCATCTTGCTGGTGCTTTAAATAATTTTCAGTGCTGTGCGTTAGTGATTTTAGGTAATGCTGTTACCGTCTTGCATTGTGATCTGCGCCTTTTGTGGAGCAGCTGGAGAGCTTTGGATGTTGCATGGTATAGAAACGAAAAACGGTAAAATTAAAATAACTTTGAGCTGCACCAAACAGTTGTCATTCCAGCAGCAGAACAAACGCCGGTGGTGTCCGAGAGCCCCTCAGCCCTGTGTGTGTTCCCAATTCTGCCCCAGAGCTTTGGGGACCTTCTGGAACAGATGTGTGTGTGTTGGGGACACACACTGGGGCGGAGCGGAAGGTGAAGTCCTGATGGGGGAGTGGATGTTCGCCGGTGCTGGGTGTCGCTGCTGCATCGTGTCTGGCTCGTGCCGGCACGGGGCCCGGGAGCGGGTGGCCTGCCGGCTCGCGGCGGACACAATCCCTGCCCACCTTGCCTTCTAACTGGAATTGGCTCTTTCCTCTCTCCAGATCTACCAGAAGATCCCCAGCACAGACCCTTCCTCCAGCAAGACGCGGCAGATCGTCGCCTCGGTCCAGTCCCTGAGCTTGCCCAGCGGCGCCCTGGCCTCCCGCACGCACTACTCGCCCATCTACCTGTCCTGCGTAATGCTTTTAGCCGCGCTGAGCTGGCAGTACCTGAGCACCGCCTCGAAAGCGGCAGAGGAATTGGTGCATACCGGAGAGAACTGAGATCGGCGCGTCAGGAGCGTCGTGTTGTTTGGGGTGGGTGAGGTGTGGCCCTGGAAGGGAGAACATTTTGGAATTGCGGGATATGTGGAGAAAAGCATTAAAGCGTAAGCCAGCTGGGGCTGGAAACTTTGGCCTAGGAGTGGCTAGCTTCAAAGCAACTAACACAATAGGTTTGGAATAGCGAGAGCCTTTTTTCCCCTTTTTGATGAACTGTTACAGACAAATCTGTTGTTTGAGTCTTACTTAATGATTTCTTTTTGCAGAGCGTTTCATCTGCTGGTGTTTTTTTTAATGTATAGTGTTTTTTAACTAGGATGTTTGAAGGTGGCTCATTGTTGCTCATGTATTTTGACAGTAAAAACAAGTGATCTATGATCCAAGCTTCCACACATGGTCTTTTTTAAAAAAAATAGTTCAGCTCCAGCAATCCAAGATGGATTTGTAGTTGGGGTTGTTCAGTAGGCAAAGTCCACAGTTTATCTTGAGTCAGGCCAATTGAGGAGCAGCGGTTTACCTGGAGAATGGATGTACCATTTCAACAGACTTTTAGCACAATGCTCTTGTTGCCCCCAGCACCTCTCTTTCCACAGTCCACCCCCCCCACCCCCGCCAGCTGGGGCTGGAAAAACTTCCAGGACCGCTGGAGAGCCACTGTAGCCAATCTAAATTTCAATTTTTTTATTGCAAGAGTCACCAAAGCAAAGGAAAGGAGAAGCAAGGACACCGCCCTGAATTTAACAGAAACTTGATCTATTGGTATTCGAATAACTGCATAAATTATGCCCAGCGTACATAAGCGTCAAGACAGACCCAGTTCCTGCATAAATGTCCATTTGAGAGCGCCATCTCCTTGTCGTCCACTCACATTGTGACAGCGTTGTTCAGCCTTCATTAGGGTTGTAAAGAGGGAAACCAGCCCTCCTCTTTCAGATCTTGTGCTCGGCCCGTGCATGCTCGCAGAAGTCCGCTCGCACAATTGGTAGCCCCCTGCAGCGCAAGCGAAGGCTGTGAGCCACATGCGTGGAAGAGGCATGCTGCTTGCACAGCATTTGTCTGGGGTTCGACTTGGGGGGTGTGCCTGGAGCTCAGCTGCTAGAAAGGCTGGAGTGGGGGGAGCCCAGCCTAGGAGACCTGACAGTTGCCCACCCCCAAAACGGGTTCTTTGCATATCCCCAGGCTCCAGACCAGTATAGGGGTGAGCTTTTCATTCCTCCAGTATTGGAGTACCAGTGAGAGGACGAAAGGTGCAGAAAATCCATTTATACTGCCTGAGCCTTAACTTCTAACAATCGCCAGGTGTTTTTAAAGGTGTACACCAGGAAAGTTTTAACGAGGGTTCCAAACAAAGTTTATCCATATACCATCTTGTTTGGCTATCACAAGCAGTCAGGAAAAGCAGCATTGCCAGGGCCACCCCATGGGACATGGACCTTAAACCACCCCATAGTAGGTGGGGGGGGGGGACAGTTTTCTAGCAAAGGTTTTGGATGTGCCGTGAGAATGCTGTGGGTGCCCGTGTGTTTTACTCCTATTCTTGGGTAAATAGCTTTCACCAATCATTTGTTCATTTGGAGATTGCACAGAAAGACCAAACATTCAAAAGGAAAGCCTAAGACCTCCACCCAGTCTTTCAAAGGTGGCCTTTTGTCCTTTTAATATTGTTATAATAGCTTGTTGTTTAGTCGCAAAGTTGTGCCCCACATATCGCGACCCCATGGACAACACTCCTCCAGGCCTTCCTGTCCTCCACCATCCCCTGGAGTCCACCCAAGCTCACACCCACTGCCCCAGTGACTCCATCCAGCCACCTCATCCTCTGCCGTCCCCTCCTTTTGCCATCTGTTGTTCCCAGCATCAGGCTCTTCTCCAGGGCGTCCTTCCTTCTCATTATGCGGCCAAAGTATTTGAGTTTTATCTTCAGTATCTGCTGTCAAAAGGGTGGAGAGAATCCTTTTACATCAGACTGTTGCATTGTGAGTAGGAGGTAGAGCGTGGAAAAGACGACACGCCTGTTCCATCCCGAAGCCGATCCGTGTTGCGTCCTTGTTAAGCCGTGGTGGTTGGAGCAACGCTGCTGAAGAGCTTCAGGGATCCTTGGTCACACGCTGCTGCCACGGTTGGCACTGCTTGTGTGTTCCAGTGCTCTTGGTAGCTCTGCTCACCTCTCCAGAAGAAGATGCCAGTGAGATCCCTTCTCCAATGCAAGCGCAAAAGGAAGGAGCCAGTTTGCCTGTTCCCTGGAGGGTGGAGGGCCGGTGAGTGCGCCCCTCAGGTGCATCTTGTGTAGTGTGCAAGATGGAGCTACGGGAGGTTGTGGCCCCATGACGTGCTGCAAGGGCTTGGCCACAGCTGGTACACAGCCCCTGGAGCAGAGTTTCCAGGTCCCTCTCCCCGGACCCTTTGTCATATGCCTGTTTTCTCTTATTCTAAACTGGACTTGAACCCGGGATCATCTCGTGAAGCTGATTGGTGGGAGGTGCAGAACAGATCAAAGGAAGGACTTCATGCAGCATATTGCTAAAACTATGGAACTTGCTGCCATGGGAAGGGGCGACGGCCACCGATTTGAATGGCTTTGGAAGGGGATTGGACTGATTCACAAGGAAGGCCACCAGTGGCGACTAGCCTTGCTGGCCATGGCCTTCCTCCTTGACCAGAGGTGGCCTTCCTGCAGGCACCAGTTGCTGAGGAGCTGGGCAGGGGGAGGTCTTGCACCCATCCTGCCTGAGGGACCCTGTGGGCAGCCGGTTTGCCAGCGTGTATACGGAGAGCTGGACTGGATGGACCCTGGGTCTGATCCTGTTCTTAAGTTCCTACTAGGTAAGAACTTGCTGCTCAAATATCCAGCTTCCGTCCCCTTTGCCTTCAGCCCTACCCGCTACTGGAACCTGCTCCCACCAACCTCCTAACACCTCTGCCCGAGCAGGGATGTGACACCTGGGGATGAAAAGCTCTCCTTGACCCCATGGCTTGGATAAAAGCGTGATGCTCTGCCTGCCCAATGAAACCTTACGTAGGTTGAACTGTGTAAAATGCAAGTGCAGATAGAAATAATTGCTGTGGCCTTCAGGCAAATGCTTCGGATGGGAGTGTCCCCACCCCAAGGGCTTGGGTCCTTGGCCCTCTTCCATGGTAAGATTTCTGGGTGCAGGTCAGCGGCAAAGAATGCTGAGCTGGGTGGTTTCAAGCCATTCCAATGGGATCTCTCTACAGATGAGCCACAACTGCATTGTACACAACGTTCACACAGTGCGAGAAGCAGCTCTGCATGGTTACCATGGTCCATGGCTTTTTAAAAAACCACGATCTACCTGACAGACAAGCGAGTGGTTTCTACTTTATCCTGGTTTCCACCCTCCCTTCTCAGTCCTCCCCCCATTGGCATGTAGCCCCAAACTGCCCCTGAAATACAATCGCAAAGTACATCACTCCCTGCAAACGTCATAGAAACACAGAAAACAGGGCGAGTCAGAAGGGGGCCTCCTGGGTCATCTAGTCTGACCCCTGGCTCCCGCTGGCTCCGCTCAAATACAACCGCAAAGTACATCACTCCCTGCAAATGTCATAGAAACACAGAAAACAGACCAAGTCAGAAGGGACCTCCTGTGTCATCTAGTCTGACCCCTGGCTCCGCTCATGACGTGCCCACCATGTGCATATCGCCTGCCTCTTCCCACATAGGGACTGAATGGCCGGAGTGGCTCCTGCAGTTGCTGCTCTTTCCAGAGGACTCCACGGTGCTTGCACAGCAGGGCTATGGAAACCATGAACCTGAATTCAGACATGCCATGCCATGCCATGGTGATAAGCCATACACCAAACCATGATCCTTACTGGGGTTTTTGGAGATCAAGCTTGAGATGGTGAAATAGGAATCGGTCCAGACAACAGGACAGACCAGCAACGACACAAAAGCGCCATGGCTTGTCTGAACCCAGCCAGAGTCCATTCTCTGTGGTTCGAAGAACAGCAGGGGACCAGGCCAGGGCGAAGGGGTGTCCCACCACCTGAGGGCTCCATGCAGAGCCCAGAAGCAAAAGGCCAAGGAAATTCCAGCTGTCCAGCTGCTTCCTTTTGCAAATTCCCAAAGCAAAACACATGCAAGCAATTAGGAGGGGTGGGAGACCCTTGCAGGTAACCGGAGGGAGGGGGTGGCAGCGGTCCCAAGCCCCGTGTTGGGAAGCCCAGGAACATCATGGAAAATTGCCCCAACCCTGCGGTCGCTCAGCCCAAGCCAAGGGCTCCGGTCTCAAAGGGATCGAGCCATTCGTGTTTCCAAAATGGAACTCGGTTCTTGTGCTGGAAAAGGCTCCACACCCCCGCCTTGAGGGGTCGCATCAGGAACCTACGCGGCAGGAATCGGGGTGCAGCAGCTCTGGGCCTGCCAAGCCTCAAATCCCTCCCTCGAGCTGGCACCCCAGAGCTTGCTTTTGCTCACATCTCTTTGATCGGCCCGTTTATGCAGCAACCTGCCAAGGGATTCGTGGCTCAGAGACGGGACGAGTGCTATGTGGCAACCCATTTCATTAGCGATGCCTGCTGCCCGACCCACAACAGGCGCCGGGTGTGGAGACGCGCCCTCAGTCCATGGGACGCCATGCAGGAAATGTGATGGCACATTTCCTCTTGCGGCAGCTGATGGGAAAGGGGCATGGATGCTTCCGCTATGGAAAATCGGGATACAGCCATTTTTGGCCACCAGGGGGAAGAGATGAGAGCTCTGCCATGGACCAGTGAGAAGAGGACTTTATTATCCGAACGAGAAAAATGAAGAGACGACACTGAAGTTAAAAGCTCATGATTGCTACAGAAGCCAAATCTCTCAGACCTTCTGCGCCGAACAAGGACGATTTATCTGAAGCTGGAAGCTACTGAAATAATGAACTTTTCACTAACCCCAGAAGAGGCCCGCTGAAATCAGTGGGACTGAATTATGACGGAATTCCACTGATTTCAATGGTCTGCTGAAAGTTATGAACACAGTACGGATTCCACCCCACCTTTATCATCTTTCTACTCATTACCTGCACCTTCATCATTCCCCATCAGTAATTTACAATAGCAAAAATAGATTTTTTAAAACTTTTAAGCTAGCAGCAGCCAATACGCAAGTCCAGCCAGTGCAATCAAATCGAATAAAGTGAATAAAATGCAGTAGTAAACAGTAAGGTTTTGCATAAAAACAAAAAGGCCTCTTTTAAGCTTCTGCCCTACCATTTAAAAATGCAACTATAATAGAAGTCTCCCAGCATTAATCAACCTGATGGTCCTGCGATTCAGGAAGAGGCAAATTTAAATCAGAAACCGAGCTCTGCGACAGCAGAAGAGTAAGCTCTTCAACCCTGGGGCTGGCCGGGGCCAGCTCACGTGGAAAGAAGGCTCCGTCATAGCTATCTGTTCCCGGCCACTAAGCTGCACCTTCAGGCCGAGAAATGGCAAGAATGGGGTCATGAGCAATCCGGGATGGGACCGATCCCTCCCTCTTTCTGCCCCCCACTGCTGCATCCCCTCCAGATGCCCCCCCTTCAGAGGACATGGCCGATCTCAGCACCGGTATGGCGAGCAGTGATTTTCACCCGACTCCAGTGGGCGTTTGGCAGCGTCTCCTTGGCAATGGGCTGCAGCTTGGCCAGGTGGCCAGGACACAACGCTCGACTCGACGGTTCTGCAGCAGAGGCGCTTCAAGAGATTCTCTGGCGGACCGGAGCCATCGCAATGAGTCGGAGGGCCGAGTCGGCCAGGTGCGGCAGGGGTAATATTCTTGTCTTCTGCTCCCACAGGGCTCTTTCCTTCCTCTACAGCTGCCTCTTTTCGCACAGTCAGTTTCACGCCGGCACCTCGCTTCCCCTCTTCTCCAGCAGCCAAGGAAAGCTGTGTGTCCTGCATCGACCGGGAGCCTCACGCAGGAGACAAACATACTGCACGGTTTCCCCCACCCCACAAAAAAAAAGGCATTTTAAAAGGTTTCAATTAAAAAAAAAAAGTGAAGTCTAAAATGCTTCCATTTCCACAGGGCAACTGGTTACTTGCAGGAGTGGCTGGATGCAAGAGGAGGAGAAAATTACAGGTGTTTCCAGTACTTGCTCAGTCTTGGGACTCCAGCAACGACCTCCGACTCGATTCCACAGTGGTCCTGCCCACGAAGGATTCTGAAGAAGCCTAGAAGCAACAGGGAGAACAGCTTGGCAACATTTCCCCAGACCTGAGAGTTCCTGTTGGCCAACAGCTTCAGTCTAACTGCTCATCTTCTCCGGGGAAAGGGTGGACTTTAAGCATTCATTCATTCATTCATTCATTCATTCATTCATTCATTCATTTATTATTAAAACATTTTTATGCCACCCCATTCGCCGAAGCCTCGGGGTGGCTTACAAACAAGTAGGTTAGAAGTAGGTTGGAATTATGGCCAAACCTGTCTGTTTTTGGCTGGATCCTACAACAGCACAGCAAACCTTTTACTAAAGAATGCAGCCCCTTACATGAAATCTAGCTTCCCACTGCTCCCTTTTTAAAGTTTCTAGTCCTTCTGTTACATTGTTAGGAGTTTGCAAGGGTGATCTGAGCTTTCTTCCCCAACAGAAAGGCAAACATTATGCACATTTTAACAAGGTTTGCATAACTTACATGAGTGCCCCCCATTTCAGGTTGTTGTGGGACATGGTTTGGAAAGCGGGTGTGCAGTGGGGAGGGGTGGTGGGAGAATTTCATTCTTTTCTGGCATAGTGGTGATTACAAGTTCTAGTTTGCAGTTAGCGCTGAAGCTCACTGGATGAATTTGGGCCAGATATTGACTTCCGGCCATCCTGTTTCACAGCGTTGTTGAGAGGATAAAAGTAAAATCATCATCATCATCATCATCATCATACAGAAAGTTGGAAACTGGTTAGATACGTTCTAGAGAGGAGGAAGGCTAAAGCCGATGTGGGGTAGTGGTTAAGAGCATGGGACTGGGACTCAGAGGATCCGGGTTCGAGTCCCCGTTCAGCCATGGGGCCAACTGGGTGACACTGGGCTAGTCACAAACTCTCAGCCCAGCCTACCTCACAGGGTTTTTGTTGTGCGGAGAAGATTGAGAGCAGCAGCAGGAAACCAATGTAAGCCATTTTCTTTAAAAAAGATAAAAGGCAGGATAGAAATCCAATAAATAAGCGAACAGGTGTTTTTCCTTTTGTTTCTTGGAAGACACCTCCTGCAGGATTCCTATGCCTGAAATGCAGGCAGACGGCTTCCGACAGATGTAGCAGCGGCTTTAACAAGCCAGTGCCGGACGGATCTGGCACGCTTACCGTTTTCACCCCAGTCTGTGTTCCAGGAATTGGCCACCAGCCAGTAAGGTGTGCCAGCATCGACGCCCCAGCCGAGGATTCGGATCGCGTGGCCCCCGACGGACTCCCCAGAGACGTGTTGATAGACACCTGCAAGGGACGGGCAGAGGAGGAGGACATAGCGGAGAGAGAATTCCTGCACCCGCAAAGGCGGGCTGGACGGCTCTCCTACAGGGGTCCCCACACAGTGTGTTCAGGGGGGCACGAGAGGTCCATTCAGACGTATCAGCGGTAAATCGTGGATTAATCAACCAACGGTTTGCCAGGGTGCTGCAGCCATTTTGAATATGCAGGATAAAGCTAACAATGAACAGTAGGTCAATCATTGCTTAACCCATAATTAATTACAGTTTGGGGGCTCAGATGTCAAACAGCAATCCATGATTAGACTTGACTATTAAAGTGGCCTCAGTGCTGAACCGTGGAATAATTAACCCACAATTTGCTGGCACGATGTGTAAACCAGCTCTGGGAAGCTATACCAAGCATTTTAGGCTTACGCTTCTCTTTCTGTGTGTGAAAGGAAGAATTTGTTGGACATTGTTATAAAGAGGGATGCCTACCTGATTTGTACATGAGGAAGTCAGAATAAACGATAAAAGCTGCCTCAACTGGTCCGTTCTTGTAGATCTCGGCCATTATCTCTTTCTCACTGGGAGGGACACTGTAGGAAGTCACTCCTGGACAGAAGGAGAGAGATTATGAAGTTGGAAAGCATGCAAGCCGTTTCCTTCAAAATCTGCAGTGTTTCCAACTGGCAGGCTTGGGGGAGAACTTTTATCTGCCTCAACACGCAAAGGGCGACGCTAAGAAATTTTGTTTACCCGTGATCATCATCACGAACACCCTTTTAAAAAATTAAGATGAATCCACCCTAAGAAGCTCAGTCTGCCTTCCGCAGCGATTCTTGTTTCATCCAAGTTCCTGTATCCACTTATAAGGCAGGATGCAAGTCTCGCAAGATGAAGTTTAAACCCTTTTATCCAATCGAAGCTTACAAGCCTTCTCTGGCTTTATTACCGTAGTGTTTGTCATCCTGGTACGAAGGCGAGTAGCCGGCTTCACATTTCTTGATGCAATCAGGGGTATCCCCGCCTTCGCCGGTGCACGGGGGCCGTGTCCCGTTGGTGTGGTGCTCGCAGGGAGGAATGGAATACGGCCGACAGCCTGCCGGGCGGAAATCAGGCCATAAAGTCACTGTCCCCCCATTCACCCTTCCTCTTTGGCTACTCTGCCCAGTTCCTGGTTTCTTCCCCTTTCTGCAACAGTGTTGCCCACCACCTCTGAGGTGCCTTGGGGCCACCACCAAGAAGGCGCCTGTCTTGCACGCCTACTTGCCGCGCTTCAAAATGGCTGCTTCTCTCGGTCGACCAGTGGCAGGAAGAGTCACACTTCTGTGCCACAGAACATCTGGAGCTGGGCCACTCCAGCCGGGCAGATGTTCTGGTCTTCGACTCGCATCAGCCCTAACCAGTATAGCCACTGGTGAAGCATCGTGGGGGTCACAAGCCAAAAACCTCTGGAGGCCACCGGCTGCCTAAGGCCGTGTTTACAGACTTGCACTGGCCCAAGAGAAGCCTGCTAATGCCACACCCATGCGCTCCAGGCCAGCTGCGCGCACTTCCAACAGCACCCATGCCTCTCTCCCCGTACCTCTGGGAATTTAGATTTACGTTCTACCTTATTTCCTCTTGGGAGAAACCCAAGGCAGCTCTCATAGTGCCATTTTATCCACAGAACAACCACCCTGTGAGGCAGGACAGGCCGAGAGGATGTGACTGGCCCAAAGTCACCCGGTTGGCCCCGTGGCCAAGTGGGGATGAGAGCCCACGTCACCCGAGTCCCAGTCCTGCACTCTAACCTCTACATTACATTGCTTTAAGAACAATCTTGGAAAATGTCAGGGCAACCTTCCTTCTCTTCCCCGCCATCTTTGCTCTTTCCCTCTCTGTTCCAAGTTCTCCACTCCTGTTTCTTCCTCCCTCCTCCACCCGCCCCAGCAGCCATCACCTGACCAGACACTTCCTCCCCAGGAGCCATTTTGTGCTGGCGCCCGCAGTCCTCACATGCCCACATTTATAAATTAATTTATTTATTCAAACTTATATTCCTCTATAACTAGTCTGAAGACTCTAAGCAGATTACATCTAAGTGGATTACAAGGGATCACATTAAAAAACCCATCAAATTTAAAAGCAACGTACTAAAAGAAGAATATGCAGCTGAGGAATAACAAATATCAGTAAGTTAAACTATATTAAGACTAAAAGCAGGATAAATAACACCATGATACAAAATCAATTGTTGAAATATCTGGAGAAGAGGGCTGTTTCCTCCTGGCGCCAAAAAGATTGCAAGGCCATTCCATAAATGGGGGCAGCCACTGAGAAGGCCCTGCATCTATTTGCCTTCCCCTTTACCTCCTTAAAGAACGGCTTGCTCAGAAGGGCCTCCCCGCCTGGTCTTAGGGACTGGCTAGGCATATAGGGGAGCAGCCAGGCCCTCAGGCATCCCGGTCCCAGGCCGTTATGTTTGCAGGGCCAAAACGGCCGCCCACCCAGGCCCAAGCGGGGAGCCGGCTCGCCGAACTGACAGAGCCCCGTTTGTCCTCAAAGCGAGAGCCATGAAAGCTGTTCCCGCCCCACCGCAAGGACTCACCCACGTGGGAATCGTAAAGCCCGCCAGACACCAGGCCCTTTTCGGTCCAGTACTTCCAGGCCCCTGACGGATAGCCGCCGTTACACCTGCGAGGAAGCGATGCGGGAAGCTCCTTACCTTTGTGGCTACGCTGGCGAAGGCGCAGGGGCTCCTGAACGCTCCTCACTCCCCGTGGGAGCCCTGATCTATCAGCCCCCGTCACACGCCTAGATGCGAGACCACGCTTCTGTGGAAGCGGCTGCCAGGTGCAGGTTGAGGTTCCTTCCCTCCGACCGGCCACAGTGGGGGCACGGGGAACCCCTTTCCCGGGCTGCTCCCACAGGGTTCAGCAGGGAGGGGCGAGGAGTCCATCTGGGGGTGGGAATCTGGGAATCTTTGCGGGGGCCTGGGGTCCAAGTTGCTGGAGAGGCTGTCAGCGATTACGGTGCACACACCTGGAGTGGAACCCTGGGCACTGCACAAGGTGTGCCCTTCTTTCTGCACCAGCTGGCGGTGCCCCCTCCACCCCTGCCTGCAGTGGGGGAGGCAGCGGGTCGCACAGGCCGGGGCCTGGGCGCATCTGGGGCCTGGGCCGAGCCCGAGAGGAAGCCCACGGACGCGCGACGGGGAGATGCCGAAGGGACTCTCCCCAGCCGTGGGGTGCAGCCCCGCCAACGGGGTAGGCAACTTACCCCATCCCGCATTCAAAGCCGCAGCACGAGAGCAGGTCTTCGGCAGAGATCTCCACGTTGACCTTGCCGTTGGTGTGGATGCAAACGCGATCCGAAATGGCCTCCACGGCGCCAAACGCCTGTAGGGGCGATTGCAAGTGCCGACGGTGACATGGGCAGCCGCCGAACTCAGCCCCACTCCAGCCCTGGCCTTGGCTTCCCTTCCCTCCCCCTTCAATTGCCACTGGAGCTGCTTGGTCTAAGCATTTCTAGGCCGCACTATGGGGGTGGTTGGAATGGTTAAAGTCTTTCTGCAAAGATTTGCCTTCATCTTTCTGCAAAGGTTTGCCTTCAGCACAATAGGAGTTTTAAAGCTCTTTCCTTGGCAGAAGGAAAAATATTGGGTAGCCTGGGGAATGCTGGGAATTGTAGGATTTTGTCCGCCTCGATATGCAGCCTTACAGACCTGGTTATTTGACATAGTTGGAGCATCCTGATGATCCCAAATAATTAAAGATATAAATTATATGTTCTCCAGGCAGATGACAACCAGGTAAAATAATCCCTAAAATACAGTTTTCAAACACTGTTGAAAATATAAAATTGAATAAAGAGATTTGAAAAAATAAACTACAACATAATGCAAAATGGCAAACGGCCCAGGAAGATCCAACACGGCTGCAAACAGCAGAGGAAAAAGTCTCTGCTGGTGGTACTGGGAGAAATAACTCACGCCTCTTGATCCTATCAAAGCAGCTTTAAAAGAAAGTCCTTTTGGCTCGATTCTGGTCGCTGGGCCCTCCCAGTGTCATTGCTCACCCAGCAAGAGCCGCAGGAACCTTGGTCCCGGATCTCGTTGATGGTTGGACAGTTCGGCCACTGTTTGCGGGAGTCGAAGTTCTCGGGCAATTCCAAGCCGTCAGCAAACCCAAACCTGGTTGTTTTGTGGTGGGGAGGAAGGGGAAAGAGAGAGAGAACACAACTTTCAGGTCATGCGTGCTCCCGCTTCTTCCGGAATCGCAGACACAAATAAGGCAACACATGGTCAAATTGTGCTTTCAAGAGGCCCCTCCAGCATGCCCCATCCGCCTGAAGAATCAGCCAAGGAAAGACTTGGTTTGCAGAGCAGCCTTCCCCACCTGATGTCCCCTGGATGTGTTGGGATTACAAATCCCGTTATCCTTCGTCCACGCAGCACCAAGGAAAGCTGGCTTTGAGCAGTCCTGCTTTCTGAAGCAAGGCCAAAGGATTGAAGAAAGAGGGACGCCAATTCTGCCCCCAACCCCCAATCTACTTCTAGCAGGCTGTTTCTCAGAAAATGTCTAGTACTGAGAGCATTTCCTTCACTGAGGCTTTGAAAAAACAGCATATACACCTGGACTCCCCATTTCCCTTCTTCGGGGCCACCCTGTGCCACATGGACGGAGAGAACTGACATGGCCAGGAAGTGAGATTTTGGGCTGAGATGGGATCCAAACCCAGTTCTTCCTTGCTCAACACCCTTTGCAGATGAACTGGGCCTTCCTTTTCATAATTAAAGGTGGAATTCTACCACTGTTGACATTTAAGAGAATTCTTTACAGTACCCATCACTAATCAAACCTTTAATTGATCTTAGATCTGTCTCCTGCAAGGACTGAACACCTGTACAGTCACAAAGGTTGTGTTTTCCTAGAACTGAGCTACCTGAAGTTGTTGGAAAAGGTAGTATTAATTTCAGGGGTTGTTTAGCCCAGTAACCAGAGTCCCAATTAAGAGGTGGCCCCCTAAACAGAAACGGAGCATAGCTTCACAAGAAGTTGGTACCAACCTGGTTGAAGGAGCAAGTCGTTTGTGAGTTAGGCTGGTCTAAGAGTGAGTGGCTGCCCAAAGTCACAGTGAGCTTCCTGACCGAGCAGGGACTAAAACCCAGATTCCCCACGTCCCCAGTTCAATCCTCGAACCACCATACCAATATTTCTCACCCCACTGAGTCTAAATTGCTTCATCGGCAAGTTGCTCATATCTTTTTATCTCCGCCTGTTTCATCCTCGCCTTCCAAGGTTACACAATAAGCCCCTGTGACCAAGCAGGAATTTGAACCCGGGGTCTCCACTCCTAGTCAGGTGCTCTAAACACCCTCCAGACCAGGGGTCTCAAACTCGCGGCCCGCGGGCCCATTGCCGGGACGGGTGGGGCACGGGGTTGGGGCCCTGCGGCCTTCAAAGCGCCAGCGGCGCCCGGGCCGGCCGTGGGAGGAGAAGCCCACCACCACTGCGGTGGTGGGATACTCGATGCGGCCCAGCCTCACCCAGCCTCTACTTCCAGCGGCCCCCGGGTCAGTTGAGTCTGAGACCCCTGCTCCAGATCTTTCCAGTCATCACGTGATTTGTGTAAGCTGCTAATTCTAGCGAGCTGAACATCATCGTTTACCTTTGATACCACTCAGTAGTAGAAACTCTCCGCGTGGTTTACAACAGAGCAACTTAACAACCATAACCTGCTCTGCAAACGTACAGCTCAGAACGGGCGACATTTTAAGCCGCCTCAAGCTACAAGCTTTCTCCCATCGATATATGGTAACATTTCTCCTCATTACAACACTAGTTCTCATTAAAGTATTATAAGGAAGTTGAGCTAGAAGAACACCAGGTCAGATTTTATTTTGCTGAATATGTGTACAGTCACAAAGGTCGTGTTTTCCGAGAACTGAGCTACCGGAAGTTGCTGGAAAGGGTCCCTTAATTTGTTTTTTGTACCAGCTGTCCTCAGCACGTTACTGCCAGGGTAGTTTCTGCAGGCACCTGCCAGGTAGGGGCTCAAAGTCACAACTGCAACTGTCACAGGTCATTCCCAGACAAGCTACAGAATTTTAAATGCTTGGTTGTCTGAAGAAACAAGACACCTCAGCATGTCTAGCCCAAGAAAAGTCCATGAATCAGATATTCTCCATGTTGCTCAGTAATTATTATTATTATTATTATTATTATTATTATTATTATTATTAACATTTCTATGCCGCCCCTTGCCGAAGCCTCGGGGCGGCTTACAACACAATAAGATACAATACAATATAACAATAGAAAATTAAAATTAATAATATAAAATAAATAAAAAAATAAACGATATAAAAGAAGTTATAAAAGAAAAGTTATAAAAGAAAAGAAAAGAAAAGAAAAGAAAAGAAAAGAAAAGAAAAGAAAAGAAGTCGTCCTGGCCAGATGAATAAGTGAATATTGTTAACAATTAAAATGACGTTTAAATAAAAAGGTCTTCGCCTGGCACCGAAAAACATAACGACAGCGCCAGGCGGACCTCTCTGGGGAGCACATTCCATAGACTGGGCGCCACCGCAGAAAAAGCCCTCCTCCGAGTACCTACCCTCCTAATTTCTTTCACGGGACTGGTGGGGTTCTGTCCACACGGTAACACCCATTCAGGACTTCACTATGGGTTGATAATGGATGGTTGTTGAACTGTGGGTTATCGTGTTGTCTGAATTCAGCCACACTAACAAGCCGTGGCTTGTTAAGCATGAACAGTGCATGGAGAGAACCCACCGTTTGGTATGAACTGCGGATTTGCTCACCATGGTTGCTAATCTCAGCTGGGTTCAGACAACCCAAAAACCCATGTTCGACAACAACCCACACTTAGCCTTTGAGTGTGAGTTAGAGTTGTTTGAGCTCAGTCGTGTACTGAAATATTTCGCCAGGGGTCTTTCCCAGCCCTGCTGGAGATACTGGGACTAAAATGGGCAACCTCTGCAAGCAAATGGGCCACCTCTCCAGCCCCAAACTAAGGTTCCCTCCCTCTCTGCAGCTCACACAGACAGCACAATTAGGAGCAAGAAAAGTAAACACCTCACCTTTCCGGCAGCTTAAGGCCGTGCAAGAAGGTCCCACACAATTTTTTCACATAACTGTATTCCACATTCTGGAAGTTGTGTCCGGCCTTTTAAGGGGAAAAAAGGAAAACACAGCAATTTCAAAAGCCTGCAAGCCAAGGACACCTTCGTAACTTTACGTTTTAGCCGCATCTTTCCTCCAAGGAGAACAAGGCAGCGTGGCAAGTACCAGAGAGGTGTGAGGAATCTGGTTTGGGATTAGGAATCCTTGGATTTCTCCAGCTCAGCTCCGTGGACTCTGGCCCACCTCCTCTTTCCCGAAATTCGCCCCACACCAAGCAGGTGCATGGGTGTCTGGCAGAAAGCAAGTTCGAGTCACATTCAGCTTCTGCACGTGCAACTCACCAGCTTCGCACACACTGTGCAAATAATTACATACTTTGCACATTTTGTGCAAAAAACATGCAATTTTTTGCACAAAGAAGCCGCTGGTGTTTCTGAGAGTCCTCGGACTGGATCTCAGCTTGACTCAGTTCCTGGCCAGGGCTGAGCATGGGGAAAGCAGTCTGGAGAATACAAGAGCTGGACTCCGGGCTCAACTTTAAAATCCAAGCATGCGCGAAACTCCTCCTCGCCATTTCATCCTCACAACAACCCTGTGAGGTAGGTTAGGCTGCGAGTCCATGACTGGTCCCAAGTCACACGGTGAACTTTCTGGTATCGTAGGGAATAAAACCCCATAGTGGCCAACCAGCTGTTCCCCCCAAAACCACAAGCGGGATCAGAAAGCAACCTGCCACCCATGTCCCCCAGCAACAGGTATACATAGGCACACCGCTTCCAAACTGCACCTGGCATCACGCTATTAAGACTTATCACCCATGAATGTATCTCTTTTAATGCCGTCCAAATCAGTGGCCACTGCCATGTTTTGTGGAAGCGAATCCCACTGTTTCACTGTGTAAATGTACGAACCTAAATGCGGATCAGACCCAGGTCTCCCTCCACCTGGTCCACTCCAGTTGTGTTGAAACGGCAGCAGCCAGTTCCCAGGCAGCACGAAAGCGGTGCCCGGCAGATCCCCTGCACAATCGTTCCATGGCAGCGAAGACCGTGGCTGCCGCGGTCCCAACACTCTTGCAGAGCTCCAGGTTGAGGCAGAGGGCAAGCAGAAGCAGGCTAAAGAGACCCTTCCTGCATGGCAGTCGGGCTCCGAAGGAGACACTGCATTTCCTGAGTGTCACGCAAAACTGTAAGCACAAAAGTTTTGCTCCAAAACTCTCTTTTAACAGGTCCTGTAGGTTTTACTGAAGTTGTTTTTAATGCTTTTAAATTGCTTTACGCATCGCACATGGAAATTTTATGCTGCGTTGTATTGTCGGAATTTGTGCTTTGCTACTTGAGGAGTCGCTGTGAACGGCCTCGAGAAGTTCAACTACCGGACAGTGAAGAAAGGAAATAAATACTTGAAAAGCTGGCATGCCTCTCTTAAGAGCTGCAAGGGGTTAAGCTCAACTAGGCTGACTATTTGGGGCGTTTGGCCTCCATCACTCAAATGTGGCCCTTAAGAACTCCCCAAAAGATAATTTGTCCCCTCCCTTGACAGTAACCCCTCAAACCTCTAGAGATTGAGGCCAAAATGAACACAATGATAACCACACAACGGACAGGTGCAAGATCGAGTTTCCTTGGCCAAGATGAGAAATGTACCAAGTAAAACACAAACTCTGCTCCATGTTGGGGACCATCATGTCCATCCAAGTGACAGTTCCGTGAGAGCAGAGGGGCTTCAGTGGCCGCAGGGATGGACGGACTCCGCGCTTCTACCACCTGGGGGCCACCCCACCCCTCCCCTCCCCTCCCCACAGCCACTGTTGATTTACCTGCCAAGTAGTGTTGAGCTTATTGATGTAGTTCACCAAATCATGGGAAAGGGGTGGGAAGTTGGGAACGGTCCGGGCACTTGAGAGAGCCACCAGGAGGAAGAGAGTTGCTACAGAACGCCACATTTTGAAGACTCGGCCTTGAGAGGTTACCTGGAAAAGGGAAAAAAACTCATTGTGAATTTGCACAGCTGGAATAATTTACCAAATATGTGAAAAACAAGTAAGTCCTTCAAGCTGGCTCTTCCTCAGTCTTTGACAAGCCTGAGCAAGTGAGCTCCTTCCAATTAATTTGAGGGCTTTTCAACTTGTTCTTTGGCCAAAACAAGCTTAGAATTGATCAGTCAATACTGAACTCCCATCTGTTGACTGTCACTCTAAAACCACCACCACCAAAAGAAATAGAGCGGGGGGGGGGGATACAAGGGGTCTTTCGACAGGGCTGGCTCTGTTTCCCACCCTTTTCAGCTGCCCTCTCTAAATAAATACAATAAATGCAAAGTTTTTATATGCCGTCACAATACTAAAAATCTCTGGACAGCTTACAAAAACCAAAAACAACAAAGAACCACATACAACAACCAACACACAACATGCGCTACAGGATGAAGTTATCTTTTGCTTGCTGCTGTTATTTTAGAGCGCTAGGACTCCCAGCAAGAGTTCTGGGTTCCTAACCATGTGCAGAGAAGTATACCAGACCGACTGAAAAATAACGCAGGCTAGGAGACGAGTCCCTGCACTGCCCTTTTTCTTGCATTACATGCACCACATTTTCGATCTTAGCAGATTAGAATAAAATGCAATAAATGGAATGCAAGGTATTTGGGGTGAGCCCATGTCTCAGCAAGGCAGGCAGTTGGAAGTACCAAAAATAGGGAGGCAGCTGGCTTGGAGAGGAGCAGAACCGAAAAGTGGTTCAGTTCGTGGTCCAGCCCCAAGAAACTGAGGTTAGCTAGGATGGGAACCAGAAGGCCCTCGTTTCTCTATAGGGTCAAGCTGAAAAGCTGGAGCAGAATGCAGCAGGTCATGGCACCTGCTGGCAGGGGGGGGGGGGCTCCCCGGGCAAAATTATCGGGGGCATCAGCGTTCCTGAAAGCCAGTGCGGTGGTTTGAGTGTCAGGCTGGGCACCTAGGAGACGGCCAGCCACTCACTCTCAGCCTGGCCTACCTCTCAGGGTTGTTGTGAGCGCAAGATGGCGCTGCCTTGGGTTCCTCACAAGAAGGCAGGATGCAGAAGGGTTATCCCACTTCAGACTTAAACAAGAAAAGAAACCAAGAGCAATCCTCCATTTCATGATCCTACTGGTTGCTTTAAAGTCAGACAGTACAGGGAAATGCAGCTCAAGTCTGGGCTTAGTGTGCCAGAAAGTGAGTTTCACCATAATTGTGACTCCAGGCTGTTAAGGTCGCACTATTAAGCTATCGAGATTTATTTTATGGTCCCACTAATCCACAAAGAAGGTGTGCCAGCACGCAAAAGCAACACTGGCTCCCTTTCAATGAGAATGCGCAGGCCAGTTTACATAGTATGACAGTTTTTACCCACAAGAAAATAATTCATGCAGCTAGTCCTCAACAAGGCAGTTCGCTGGTAGCAGGCACAAGGTCCTCTGAGCTGCAGGGACCTTTAGTAAAACTTGAGGAAGGGGGTGCCTGATGCTACTCTGTCCCCCAAACCAGACATCAGGCCTGGAGAACATAAACTATAGGCCTGTCACCTTGCACCAGGGTAAAATGCAACTCAAGATGTGCACAAAACGGGGTGTTAAAGAGCTGAGTGAATTAAATGTATTGTAAGCAAGTTGTGAGCGCAGAAAAATTAAGGTCTTTTAATCAAGCAACCGGTTCTTTCAGAGGTCCGATGGTTACGGGACAGTCACCACCTTTTATGGGGCTGGTCTCGCAGGGCTGGAAATATTCTGCAAAGCACCAAGGGCCAAGCCCAACTCCCTGGGAATCCAACTTTCTTTTTCCTTTAAGATTGCAAGTTTCTAGGTCTTAGGGCAGAAAGAGTCATTTGGAAGTATGAAAGCAATGCTTCCTGAGATCTCAAAGCCTGAGAGGGAACAGAATTAAGATCTCAGCCCACTGGGTTAGCCCCTGGGAACCTGCTAGCTCTGACAAGCAACAACACAGTAACATGGTGCGTTGCATTAATAGGAATAGGAACAAGCAAAAATGAAACTACACCAGTTCAAGGTGATTTACACATCCAAGTCAGCTACTCTCGTTACAGAGCTTGAATTACTGGGGGTGGAATTTGTCCTTCTGTAAGTGGACGGATCCGCACGTGACTGGCCCTTAGCTGTCCTACAAGGCACTTGAAAGGCTAATGCACTTTCATACACTGACCACAAACTTCCTGTGATACAACTCAGCTTATGGCTGAATAAATTGCAACTTCTGGTTCACACTGCCGTGCTTCACTCCAAGCCTCGAGTCAAGTCTTTACTTTCAAGTCCAAGTGGAGCCTAAAGTCATTGCAAGAGATTTGAGTCTCAAAAGCCAACTTTAACAGGGAAAAAGGAGGGTGTGGAGTTGTAACCCCCCCCCATGTTCCCATCTGCACTTCTCTCAGTAATGCCTTGAACTCCTTTACTTCAACCATGATTTATTTCAACCAAGCTGTGCTGTGATTTGAATTTATCAAGACTGCAATTCAGAAAAATGATTGCAGCCCCCTCCACCCTTTCCTGCCGCCCCCCCCCCAAAACTCCCCCACCTCTGCTGTGTTCCTGCCCACCTTCCAACCTGGTGCAGATGCCCCCCTCCGAGGTCACCCCAAGATCACTGGGGGAGCAGCCGGCAAGTCCTGGAGTGACTCGGTTGTGAAAGGAGTAGAAACCTCGCATCGAGTGCCTCGCTGCCGCTCCCAAGTTGCTAATGTGACTTGAGTCTCCAGCACTGCTTCACACCGTTTTTTTCCGCACTCGGCTTGCCGCAACCACGACTTCTCGGAGGAACCAGAGTCCGCAGAACAGCTTGTCCCACCCGATGGCATAATCTACCCACATCCAAGGGTGCTGGATCTCATGACTAAAACTACAGGCTCCAGTTGTGCCGGTCAACCCTTGGAGTGGGGGAACTGCATGAACAGCTACGGGAATTTTTCAGTGTTGCTATTTGCAAAGACATCTTGACCCGCATTATCGTATTGTCATCCGAAGGCCTTGCATCCTGTGTGGCTCCCCACCCCGAAGCTGATTTCTAGGTCTCAGACCTTTGCCAGGGCTCTGCCAAGTCCTTAAGGTCAGCTCAAAAGTGGGTCTCATCCACCATCTTCTCCACCAGCTGCCCCCCCCAAAAAAAAGTGGACAGGAAAACCAAAGTTCCCTCTCTACCTGGTATGCAAGCTACCCAACTGGCCGCTGACCCCCCACCCCACAGTGGGGGGCAGGTTGCAACTTGCCCAGGGCAGCAAGAAGGCACTTGCCCCAGCAGGTGGCAAGATCTCCCAGCCTGTCTGCAGAGCTGTAGCTTGAGCAAACCCTGGATTCGAATCCCAGCCAAGCCAGACCCAAACCGCAGGGACGAGCACTGTGCAAGCCAGAGCATCTGCCCACCAACAGAGATACTGTCAGCTGCCCAGGAACCCATGACAAACGACAGCACGCTGCCACTTTTCATTTTATCCGCACAACAACCCTGCAGGGTAACTGGCTCAAAATCACTCCGCGAGCCTCATGGCTGAGCAGGGACCAGAATCCCATTCTCCTGAGCCCAATGCTCTAACCACGCTGGCGCTCGATGATGCAGACTGAGAAATGCTGGAGACGGCCTTGCTTCCAAACGGAAGGTGATTTGGTGACCTAAGAAATGTGGGGCTTCGAGGCTGCTTCAAGCCTTCCCTAGTCAACTGCCCTCCACATGTTTCGGATCCCAAGGCCCATCAGCCCCAGCTGGCATGGCCAGAGATTATGGGAATCAAAGCACAAAACAGAGGGTATCAGGTTGCAGAAAGGAGTTCAGGCATTTTAATACCCTTCAGCTGAAAACAATGTTTATACTGTAAATGCAAGCTCAACTTACAGTGGAGTTGTTCTCTCTAAGGTTAAACGTACTTCAGCATGTATAGGTTTAGATGTGGCCTAAACATCATTTAAAATGACAAGGGGTTAATCGCCACCCTTTCAACACACTTGCTAGCTGCCTGAGGGCAACTTTGAAAGAGCAGGGAAAGAGCAGAGGCTTCAGAAATGCAGAAAATAAAGCTTTCTCGAGAATCACAGTGCTGGAGGTAAGGAAGTTATTCCCAGCATACGCAACAGTCAGGAATGCTGGGCACTGCAGATCAACCCGGGGAAGGGAGTTGCAAGGGGTTGTCGTAAGAAGAAATAAGTTGGCAGAGATGAGAAAAGCTGCATCTCGCCAGTTGCTAGCGAAAGGTACAGATGCAACAGCCAGCGGCAGGCAAAAAAATCAGACTCCAGATGTGTGGGCTTCAAGTACCAGCATTTCCGGTTATTGGCTTCTGGGAACTGAAGCTCAAAATATTCTGTTCGCGTGCAGCAATGTTAGAACACACAAACACATCCAGAGAAACCTCGGTAAAATGGCAGGCTACCATTTCGACTGCCTAACTCTAAGGGGTGGGGGGAGAATCCCTTTTTTGGAGGAGGGGGTTTACAAATCACCAGCAAGGGTGTCGTGCAAGGAAATTCCCATCAAAACACACCCCAACTTAACCGCCACCGACTCGCATCCCGTTTCTCATCAACACACCACAGATCACAACCTTTGGAATGTACGGTTGTTTTGTATGCAGGGACTTTTAGGAGAGTGTTCTGTATGTTTAAAAAACAAACCAAGAGTGGCTGCTGACAAGGCTCTGGTTCCACAGAAAAATGCAGTAAGACTAACTGTGGACTATTTAAAGCAGCAGCTCCGCAAAATTGATGGGAGAGGAGAGGAGAGTCCTGAGAGGAACCACGAAGACTTCAAGGTAAAAGTGGAAAATCCTCAAAAGAAATCTCCCCCTCCCTACTGCAAAAAAAGCAAACTCGTGACTTTGCCACAGACAATAGGAACAAGGAAACTTTGCCCGGGGTTTGCAGTTATGGTTGATTTAATCCCCTTCAGCGAGTGGCACTGTGTGTTACTGGTCGGCCAACCATCTCTTGCACCTGAGCTGTGGGGCTGAAAGTGATTCAACGCCCTTTTTCAAAAAAGTAAAGACAATTCAGGGAATGATTTAGTGGGGAACCCTAGGGCAGATTTTGGGGTACACCCTACAGTTTCAGAATTGTCACCAGCACCCAGCATACATTAACAAATGTCTTGCAAAAAGGTCGCTTTTCACCAGGGGAATTAAGGACCGCTGAAAAAGACAGTCTGCTGAACTAGACAAGACAGGAAATGGGGTAGAGGAAAGCTTTTTTTTGGGGGGGGGTATGCTGTAGGGCTGTCGACTTTAGTTCTTTTTAAGTTTTCTGACTGAGCCATGATTCAAAGGAGCTGACCATCAAATTCTGCTGTTGCAGGTTGCTTTCCTACGTTTACTGTAAAGTCCGCCAGGCCGATTTCTCATCTTTCTCTCCGCCCACCAGCAGGGTTGTTTTCTCTACCCCACCTCTGCTCATTTCATGGAAATGACATCAGAGCTTTGTGGAAAGTATATCAGAATTTACTTATTCAGCAGAGCACATAAACTGTTTCTCTAGCGATTAAATTATCAGTCCAATTCAGAGCCCTGGAGGGGCGGTAACCATGCCCAAATTTTATTTATCTTATTTTAGAAAATTTCTATGCCGCCCCATTTGCCAAAGCCTCGGGGCAGCTCACAAATAAATTAAATTTACTATACATTAACAATATAAAAATGCAACTCCCTCCCCACAAGCACTTTTATTCTGCCCTCCGTAGTAGTCATCTATCTGCCAGAAACATTAAACACTGATGCCATCATCCCTTTAGCCAGTCTTTAGTGGACAGCATTCATGTGGACTAGTGTGCCTAGTCTGGTTTTAGGTAGACAAAACAGGAGGCACGCTAGGCAACTGAACCACTTCCACACGACTTGCCTCCGCAGACTTTTGAGGATCCAGTGGCAGGACAAGGTGCCAGACACAGAGGTCCTCTCCAGAGCAGGCCTGCCGTCAGTTCACACCCTGCTGATGAAAGCCCAGACGCGCTGGGCGGGCCATGTTGCAAGGATGCCGGACCACCGCATCCCCAGACAGCTCTTCTATGGTGCGCTGTCTCAAGGAAAGCGATCGCACGGGGACAAAAGAAGCGATACAAAGACACGCTGAGAGCCTCTCTCAAGTCCCTGGATATCGACACCGCCTCCTGGGAGACCCTGGCACAAGTCCGATTGACGTGGCGCACGCTGATCCACCAAGGCTGCCAAACTTCTGAAGCTAGAAGGACTACCATAGCACAAGAGAAGCGAGCGCTCCGTAAAGCCAGAGTTGCAAACGTTACAACAGTGGTGCCCACACACGTCTGCCTGATATGTGGCAGAACACCCCGTGCCCATATTAGCCTTATCAGCCACCTGCGGACACACCGCGGACAACTCACAACCCGCTAGATGTCAAGGTCCTCATCGAAAACGATGGACGAACATCATCAGTGGAAAGCACTCATGTGGACTAGTGTACCTAGTCTGCTTTTAGGTAGACAAAACAGGAGAGCAGCGGCAATGGGGAATCCACCGCTGCTCTCCTGCACCAACTAACAGTCCAAAGAGAGCTGGTTAAAGTACAATTTAAGAGTACCGATCGCTAGCTTCTGAACACTCCACGAGTTCCATGCTGGAATCTCTGACCTAAAGCTCATTCAGAGGCAGATTTGAACTTGCCACTGGAGGTCACCCCAACTGGACAACCTGTGAAATGCAGCAGGTAGCCAGATCCAACCCCTCTAAGCCACCGCCCCTGCCTATTGCTTTGGCTTGCTGGGCTTCCCTGTTCCAGGGAAGTCTACAGTTTGCTTTCCCCTGGTTTAGAGCCCAGTTGTGCAAGCTCTTGGACCTGCATTTGTTCTTCCTTCCTTCCTTACTTCCAAGTCTCAAGTCAACACTCCCCAACCAGGAACCTTGCAGCTAGTGCACTACAACTCCCATCAACTCCATCAGGGAGGTCCACAGATTGGGGGAAAGCTGTTCCAAGCCCCCGACAGGTATCAACTGCAAAACAAGCTATGATCAGATGCAGCTCTAGACATACCTGGAAGGAGACTGGCAGAACTTGCTGGTCACAAGCAACGCAAGGCCCATTTATTTCTATGGGTCTGCTCCCAGTATGGCACGATCCGGACCCAGATTTAAGGAGCTGGGTGCTTCGGAGCATACGGCAGACTGTATCTGAGCCGAGCTTGCAGTCCTTTCGAACAAAATGTGTGTGCCTCAGTTTCCTAAGCAGCATTTAACTGCCAGTGTGACACATTTGCTCGTGTTCCTTCCGGTCTTCGGTTCTGGCACGCACTTCTAACCAAACATGCCTTATGGGACCCTCTTCTTAAATTGCCTTTTTTGGGGGGGGGGGCACCATCAGAGCAAGTCAGGACCTACTTATGACACCTGACCTGTCAAGTTTAAGTCCTACAGTACAGAGAGGCCTGCTCCAGACTGGAACTCACTCGGGGGCTGGGCTACAACTCCCATAATCCCCAGCCCGCAGCCCTTTGGCCAGCCAGAGACGTTTTAAAGGGTGTGGCACGGTTCTGGGCAGAAAGCAGAAATCCTGATCCAGGTCCAGAAGGGCATCAGGCACGGCCTGCAGCTGAGCCGGTTGTTAATCCGGCTTAGTGCAGAAAACAGGGGCACGTGCAGACGAAACGGCAAGGCCCCCAGGACGGAGCGCGGTTCCGCTGGTTCGCAGGCCTTTCGAAAGCGCATCCGCGAGCTGTTTGTTTTCAATGGGAAAGGCCGGGGGCGAAGAAATTCCGGGCCACGGCCAGCCCGCTTGCCCTGCCGGCACCGAGGCGGGGCGCAAGCCGGGCCGAACCCGCACCCGGCGCAGCGCCCCGCGCGCGGGACGGAGGGCTGCGCCGAGTCCGCAAGGCGAGCCGCGCAACGCCGGCTCGGGGAGCTGCCCCGGGCGCAGGAAGGGCGGCTCCGGGGCGCAAGCTCTCCACGGCCGGCCCCCTCCCGGGCAGCAGGCGAGCGGGGCTCGCCCCCCGGCGCCGCCGATGGAAGCGCTGCCCCCCGACCCTCCTCGCTGCAGACGCCGCCAGCGGGGCCGGCGGGCGGACTACAGCTCCCAGCAGCCCCGGCCGCAGGCACCGCCCGGCCCCCAGGGGCGCGCGTCGAGGCGGCGGTGCACCCCCTTACCTGAGACGCGGAGCTGGCGGCGCGGCGCAGCCGGTTGCGCGGCCTCGCCTTATCTAGCCTTGCGCCGGCCGGCGCAGCTCCGCCCGCTGCTGACTCACCGGCCGCTCCTTCGGCGGCAGCGCCTGACCCGCGGCACGTGACTTTTCGCTCCTGCGCCCCCCCGCACCCTGCGCAACGTCATGTGACGCCTGGATCGGGCGGGGGGGGTCCTGCTCCGTGTCCGCTTTCTTCTTGCGCGCAAAGCGTTAATGCGCAGCGGAGCCTGTTGGCTTGCAAAGGCCTGCAAGCCAGAGGAATGCTCCCCGCACTCCTGCTCCCCCCCCCCAAAAAACCCCCTTTTAGGCTGGCCAGAGCCCGCACCGTGGCTTTTTCCATTTTGGGTGGTTTTATCCTTCGAGTCCCAGATCAAAGCCCGAGGCAGCGCGTGGCTGGGAAGCCTCCGAGGAGGCGTGCAAAGAATGCAGAAGCCGCCCCAGGCCCAAGAGGGGAGAGTGAAATTGTGAGATGGTTTGCATGTCTCCTCCGAAATCAACCCCATTGAACTCCATGGGTTTTACTCCCAGGTAAATATAGAGAAGGTGGCAGTCTTTGCGCCTCTTGTGCAGTGTGATCCTTGGGAGGGTGCAACTCTATGTGGTCAGTGGATCTTCCTTCGAGGCAGGTGTGCCTGGGGCATTTTAGGGAACGTGGCTAGTTCATGGCTTGTGAGGGCACAATTCTGGAAACAGGCCTTGTTGAGCCCTAAGTGGGCTTGACTTCTGCAAAAACATGCAGTAAATACGCATTTATTCTGTCCTGATGCTTATAAGCACACAACCTAATAGTTTTACACTTCGTCTTACCTGTGACAATCACTGAACTCTGGGACTTACTGCTGGGTGGACATACTGCATGGTTGCCTAGCACTTCCACACGTTCTGCTGAGCCATCAGACCCATCGAGTTCAATGGGGTTTAATATTAGAGCGCAATAGCTTTGGCCAGATCAGACCAAGCCTCTGCTCAGCCCATGGTGTTCACCCAGTGGCCAGCCAGCTGTTCCCAGGAAACCCCCAAACAGGATGTGAATGTGAGGGCACTCTCCCACCCATGTTCCCCAGCAACTGGTGGAGATAGCCATCCTGTCTCTGCTATTGGAGGCAGCATAGAGCCACCTGGACTAGTAGTCCTGGGTTGCCTCCTCCGTGAGTTCCTCCAGGCCCTTTGTAAAGCTGCCCAAATCGCTTCTTCTCCCAACTTAGCTATGCAGTGTGTGGTCCTTCCTTTCCTCTGCCTTGAATCTCCCTCGGATGAGCTCATGGGGACGACCCCTTTGGGTGTTACGGGAGAGAAAGCAACTCTCCCTCTCCTTTTTTTCCACAGCATGTGTTGTTTTGTGGTCTCTGCCGCCAGCCTCCTAAATATGCATAGGATTGCATGGCTCGTCGCTCCAGGGTGCTTTGGGTATCAGAATACCTAGGATTCTGGGGCAAAAAGCGATGGCTTGACCCCACTCAAAACTGCAATAACAAACAAGCCGAAAGGCCAGCCATTTCCAAGATGGGGCTTTAAGCAACGCAGAGACACGTGGATCTCAGGACTGCACCTAAATGCAGACCTGAACAAGTTGCTCTAGAAGACTTCCAGATTCACTCACTGTCTTGTGATGTTTAGTTTGGAGCTAGTGAAGAGGCCTTGCTCAACCGTGGATTTAGTAATTCCCTGATAAGGAATCCACTCTGCCTGTCACCTGTTCTGTTACCCTTTAGTTACCTGGTTCAATCTGGGATGCTCAGCTTTGGTGGGAATGGCTTGTTTTCTTTTTCAGCTGCTAGCTGTGATGACATTCTCCAGGTTAATTTGTTTTGTTTCAAAGAGGCTTTTATGTTTCAGTCTTGCCTTTCTTTAACATTCATATGGACACCAGAGTGGTGCTTCCGAAGGGTCAAAATGTGGACTGTGGAACTACCACAATTATTATCATTATCATTATTATCATTATTATTATTATTATAACATTTCTATGCCGCCCCTTGCCGAAGCCTCGGGGCGGCTTACAACACAATAAGATACATTGAAATACAATAGAACATAATAAATTACCACTAAATACAAAAATACAAAAAATACACTGAGATACAAACATAATAATATAAAATTAAAATTAACAGTATAAAATAAGTAAATAAAGAATATAGGAGGAGAAAAGAGAAGGAAGAAGAAGTTGCCCTGGCCAGATCATATATTTTAACAATTAAAATGATGTTTAAATAAAAAGGTCTTTACCTGGCGTCGAAAAACCAGTAATGCACAAATATGCATATGCTAATTCACAAATGCCATAAAGTCTGTGTTTGTCTGTGAAGACTGTCTCCCATTTCTAAAAAGGGGTATATGGGAAAGGGAGGAAGACATTTGATTCTAGAAAAAACATTTCAGGCAGGTTTTGCGGGCTGGGCATGGAGTCCATGTGGGACCAAAGCTAGCTCATCCAGGGCACTCTGGTACAACAGAGATGGATTTAGAATATATATATTTCTAAATACTCCTGGATATTTAAAACTGGGATCCTATTTACACCTGGAGATTAATTACCATTGAATCCTATAAAGCTTACTTCTGAGTAGACATGTCTAGCATTGCACCATTAATCCACCACTTCTGTTCCCCTAGCAATGTGATGTATGCCTCTTTCTGTCTTGATTGCTACCTCTCTGAAAGGTGGGGGAGGAAAGAATGTTAATATAATTAGGCTTCCTTATATTACTGGTTTGACCAGAATTTCGTCTTCCTGACCATAATGGGATGTCCTGTAAAATAAGAAAAAATTCCTCATGGCAAGCGGCTTTGGTATTTTCCTGCTTTCCACCAGACATGCATGCTGTGTTTTTAAGTGTCTTGCATGGATTATTATTATTTACTTAAATCAGTTTCTTGTGAGGCTGGAAAGCTGCTGATGCTCGGAAGTGCTTCAACTAGGAGTCCTATTTTTTAAAAAAAGGAAAAAGGGCTCCGCACAGACAAGCAGGCATCTGGAGGGCGTGTAATGGATGTCGCTGCAGTCCAAGGCATCTGGAAGGTATCCAGTTGGGGTCGGTGACTTGAGTGGACTACCTAATTGTTTCGAACACAGAAGCAATCGACTCGCTGCTTCCTGGTTCCTTTGGGAACTTCCCCGCTTCCTTCCTTGCTGATTTTGCAAACATGATACAAAGAAAGGAAAGCTACATACAGGTTTTCCTGGCAGAGGCACCGCACTGATTTGGTGCAGCTTACTTCCAAGCAGACCCATGTAACGGCATGTGACCCACCCAAGCAATTGTGCAAGCACCAACTTCCTGAGCGTGCCCTCCGAGCTCCTGCAGACATCTGGGCATGTGAATTAATCCAGGGTGAAGTCATTGGCCTTTTGTTCCCACCAGCCCATTCCTGGGAGAGCCAAATTTGGCTGAGAGGGCCTGATCCCATGGGCGGCTTTCCTTTTAGTGGATCACAGATTAAAGCAAAAGTGTGCACTTTCTCCTCCGTTGTAAGGGCTGCTGACTCATGAGTCAGCAGAAGTTGCTTTCATGCGTCATATGATTTGCTGATCACATTTCCACTTTTTCCCTTGCTTAAATGTTTTAAAAACAGAGCACAGTCCCATTCAAGGGTCAGCTGGTTTCAGACCAGTGAAACTACAAGGCCAAGGAACTTAAAGCTTCTGCTGATGTCTTTTTAGAGTGCTCTGTGATCAGCTGATCCTTGTTCTGGTGAATCACAAATTGGGCTAGCTTATAATTTACCTGTGAGGAATCCAGGCTTCTCCTTGCTCTGAATCCCCGACTGTTCCTGCTGGAGGGATTCCCTCAAGCGCTTGCCCTGCAAAGTTTTTGTGTGTTGTTCTAGGCTTCCTCACAAAGTCTTGCACACTTTGATGTGCACATGGTGGGCATGTCGTGAGCGGAGCCGGCTGGTGCCGGAGGTCAGACTAGATGGCCCGGGAGACCCCTTCTGACTCGCTCTGTTTCTATGTTTCTTCTTTCTGAGAAAACAGAATGTGCTACGAGGCA